GGAATGGGCAATACAGGACAAGATGGAACAGACTCCAGCTGCTCCAGGGGAGGTTTAGGATGAGTATTAGGAAAAATTTCTTGCCCGAAAAGATTGTGAAGCACTGGACCAGGCTGCCCAGGGACGTGGTGGAGCCACCATCCCTGGAGGTATTTAAAAGACGGGTAGATGTGGTGCTGAGGGACATGGCTTACTGGTGGGGTTGGCATTGCTGGGTTAACGGCTGGACTTGATGATCTTAAGGGACTTTTCCAACCAAAACCATTCTATGATTCCATGATCCTAAGGCAAGGGTCCCCTGCTCCAACTTCTGCTGGAGGAACAAAACCGAAGCCCACGGCCAATGCTTTCCTCTGTGCTGCTGCTTTCAGTGGAGTGACACAGAGTTCACGTCGGATCCCACCGCAGAGAAACGCGGTCCTCTGTCCCAGGATGAGACCGGCCGACAGCCGCCCCGCGCTCTGCTAATGCAAACTGACTGTGCAGCCCGGTCTGCCCCCGGGTCTGTCGATCCGCCCTCTGCGCCATGCCAGAGAGACATGAAGGTGTCAGCTTCGCACGACTTTGTCCTCTCAAAATGATACCGACCACGCTGAAATCAGCAAGCCGGAGCAGGGAAAATGCATCTGCAGGTAATTAGTAACAATCACGGGCTGCTTGGAAACTGCTGACTACAGCAGTAATGAGCTGGGCACGTGTCATTGGCTTGTAAATGGAGAGAGCACTTATGGACCGTGGCAGCAAGCAGCAAGGGAAGGTGGGTTTTTTTAAACTTAATATTTAATGTGGCATAAAAACGATGGAGAGAAATCGAGTGGTCCTCTAATCAGAGCTTTGGCTGGTGGTCCATAACACAGTGGAGTTGGCAGATGAAGTGGTACTGAGAACTGTCGCTAGATTTTTCCGTAGACATATTCAAGCAGCAAATGCTGGCATGAATGCCAATGTTTAAGCAACACTTTCGTCTACAAAAAGCATCCCCAATGTTTTGATCTACCAGCTTGCTAAGAAACAGAAATCTTACACTTTCTACCAACAGATCACAGAGGATCCTTTGCACCACCAGCCTCAATGCTGCTTTGCTGCCCGCACCACATCCCAGCAACAAGAACAATGAAAGACTGTGATAATAATTCACTTAGGACCTCCGTTACCAGCTTTATTTGCATTAAATTCTTTTATGATCTGTCTTACAGACTGAAGACTGACAAAAGACTAGACTAGACTTTGGTCTCTTCACAAATGGCAGCCCAGAAAGCCTCCAGACTTTCTCATAAAAACTGATTAAGCTTGCATGGCAGATAGCAGCTATCAAAAGGACATTAGTGTTATTAGTCAAAACCCTTGTATGTCATATTTCACGTTCTTTGCTCCCAGAAATGCGGCTTTTCAGCCCCACTCCCACCGACAGCCCCGCTCTCTGTTGAAGCATCATGCAATCACATGTTCGCCACTCTGCTTCACACGCACCAGAAGAGTTCCTGATACAAATAAGGTTTCCCACCAACAGGCTTTTATGGATACTACAACTCACTTGCCAGTGCTTGAAGCAGCTCTTGGTCTCATGACAGTGAAGCTGTAACAGTGTTTATAACCTGAAATGTCAACTGAGAAGTGAGGTCAACTTCTCAAGCCATTAGCACCACCAGACACAGACTTTGGACATTTTGTGGAGCTTCATCCATCCACCCCTCGCTTTTACAGCTGAAAACACACCTGTGACCGAAACAGGTTGTCCCTCAAGGCTTTCAGTCTCCTGCTCTCAGTTTGCCTGGACGCATCACAGGACAGCCTGTCTGGAACGAGGAAGCGCGGAAACACACAAAAAAGGGTGAAGAAATGAAAAGCAATTCAACCTTCTGAATCTCAAGAAAAGACTGGAGTTCAGGTTGGCCATTCCTCCTCCAACGAGGAGCAGTTTGCAGGAGAAATGCCATCACGGATCTGCGAGGCTCCAGCTCTGGCCTGCCGAGGTCCAGGACCTGGCTCTGGCAGGGCTTCTCTCAGGAGTCAGCTCCTGACCACCAAAGCGGGGCTGATATGAAGCCAACCTTCTTCCAGGTGTTGCCTGCCTTATCTACCATGTAAACCCAATCACCCACCCCAGCCCCAACCTAGGAACACGAAACCACTCAATTTTACCATAGCTTTGGTCAGACCACAGACAACAAAAAAGTTCCCAGAAGGCAGAGTACACGATGTGCTAGCAAATGTTTGTTGGACCTCGCACTTGGCCCAGTTCCTTCTAATTTTCAGTGGTATCTACTACAGAGGAAAGGCCAGCAGCAATACACAGCCTTTGGTTACAAGTGAAAAAGGGTGAATAAATGCGTTTCCTCTTTCTAATTCCCTAACCCACCAAGGAAACAGGGTGGGAAAAGAGGCGTGACTGAAAAAGTGCCTTAATTCTTGGGAGAAAATGGAGGTCTGTCCAGAGCTGTGGTAAGAAATACATCACCAAGCGTGCCGTAACTTAGTGCGCCTTGCACGTTGCAAAGTATGGCTTGCTGCTTAAATCCTCCTGCCCCTGATGATCTGCAGGTCCCCGCAGCTCCTACAGGGACCCTCAGGGCAGAGAGCACGACGTGGGCGTACGACACGTGCCCAGCGCTACAGGGCCCCCATCGTGCCGGCAGCGTCTGGGCGCTCCAGAGCATGAGCAGCACAAGACAGTTGCTACGGCTGTTACAAAAGGAAAAGGGAGGATAACGGTCAGACAATCCTCTCCGAAAACCTATCAGAAGGCATAGATTTTTAAAGGGTTTTGATATGCTCGTGTAAATCTAAGTTTTATGAATGCAGGTGTTAGAAAACTCTACAGCAATATCAAATTAAAGATATAAATACCTACTGCCTTGTAAAACGTGTTCTGTTGTAGCTCTCACCCTGTCACATTTAAGACCAAGGCAGTTTTTTTCTAGGCTTGCTACTCATAAAGCCTGCTCCACGTTTTTGATGACAACTACTAAATTTAACATTTGGAACTTTTGCTCAGGTGTAGGTAATGTCACAGGGAGACCCCACGCAAAATCTGTAACAAGCTCCGCAGCACCACTTCTGTAGCTCGTTTTGCTCTAGCAAACGCGACCAGTCAGCTCACTGAACTCTCAGGAATTAGTAACCCAAGAAGCACGATAAGTGCTTGAACCAGCACAGAAGAAGAAGCGCTGCTGAAGTATCAAATCAAGCAACAGCTTTTGGCTGACCCTGATTTTGGCCAGTTGCAGATCCTGGATGGGCAGTTCCTTAGAAGAAGACAGAAGCGGGGAAGCACTCAGCTTCTCTATCACCTTGCCTTCCTAACTTTCACTCCTTCATAGTGCAGCTCAGTAATTTCTTGCTATTTGCTTCCCCACAGGCCATGGCCCCCATCAGGTCCTGTCCCGCGCTGGAAGCTGCGGGTGGTCCGGGTGGGAGAGCCCCACAGAGCCACGTCCACAGCACCCGCTCGCGCAGTCTGACGTGCTGCTGGGCTGCGCTCATCAGCAGAGCACACGTGCCTCTAACAGGGCATCAGGCTTCTCATGGGCTTGGACGAGCACGAGACAAACACCCAGCAGATGAACAAAGGGCAACAGGAGACCCGTGATGTGCCAAGGCAGCCGGGGTCTTTTGCAACGAGCAGCACTTCAGGCTTCAAAGTAAGATGCAAGGAGCTCTGTAGCAAACAATTACAGAATAATTTGCTTTAGGAGACATTTCTTTTTAACTTTCATAGGCTGTATGGCTGGCTTAGAACCCCAAACACAATGGTTCATGTTCCTTCTTTCCTATTCCTTTTAGATCCCTTCTATTCTATGATTCTATGATTCTACAAATATATCTATATCTATGCTCTATCTCCCTACCAGTTGTAAGCCACACATGCCCAAAAGTCCCTCTTTCCATCCATCCATCCAACCCTGGACACCTTTCTTATCTACGAGTCTATCGCTCGAACCACCCACCCAGTACTGCGCAGTTATTTCGAGAAGTGTCTCTCCTCCCACTTCAAGGTAAACATGGATTTCCTTACAGTTCATGTAATTTTTTATTTTCTTTTGAATACTCCAAATTTTTGGCAATAATAACCAAAGACTGACACCACATGGAGTTAAAACAATTTTACAACACTCATTTTCAAAACTGCTCTCCTGCTAGATGAGATCATAACGCTTTCAAGACACAGTAGTACTATTCTAAAAACATTATCACCTTTCCCTTTAGCAACAAAGTAAACAAGTAAAATCTGATCATCTTTGGCAAAACAGAGAAAATTTGATGAGGAAATCTGCACAGGTTAGACACAAGGACAGAAGTAACACACAGAGGTAACATGCATATGAAACACAGAGCTTTAAACGTTAACATCCCTCTTTGCTGATTCCCATAATTCTCATAATCTCTTTCCACGCAATGTGGTCAGTCCCAAATAACTAAGTGACCAAAGCATTTATCAAATTCCAGCTGTCCCTTATCTCTCACCCTGTGCGTGCTACATAAACGCAGATGACGCTGCATTCCTTGCAAAAACAACCTTTGCTTTTCATTTAAATGCTCAGCCCTGGTGCACAACTCCAATCCCAGAAATGGTATAAAACACGTGCATTTGTGGGAATCAAAAGCATCCAAAATTCAGGCTGGTTTAAACTGTCATAAAAACCACATCCAGTCAAACCTGCCAAGCGCCTTCATGAAAAATGAGCAGCAAAGCCCAAAAGCAGAGGGGAGCATTCTGCTTTGGGGTTATGTGCTGGTGGGCAGGATGCAGGTTTGGGGTGCAGGGACGTACCCCATCCTGGACAAGAGGGACGGATGCTTCATCTGTTGGCTCCAAGCAAACGCTACTGATCTATGCGAGCCACGCACCTGACTCAACAAGGCTGCTATGAAATCGCACTTAAAAAGAGACTTTTTGAGCAAATGACTGCACATCTGACGCTACTCTCCGTAAAGGGCATCACACTGCCATGCGCACACACACACCGCACACCACTTATCGGTGCTGGACCACTGCTTACCTGTGACGATAGGGTATGACTGAGGCCCGGGAACGCTCGCTCCCAAATCTGCAGAAGTAGGGCTGGTTATATTGGCCTTCATGTCATCTAATCCACCAGCTAACGATGCCATGGCTGAGTATTCAGTTGCCTGGAAAAAGAAACAAAAGGCATTTTAGCGGCAATAAATTTACTATTCAAGAGCTTCTGCCTGTATGACAAAAAGTAGATGCAACACAGAACTCAAAAAACCCTTTGTTCAGTCAGTTTCGAAGGCAATGCCCACTTACACGGGGCTGTTAAGCATTCAAAATACTCAATAAACGGGTCTGTGCTTATCACCGATGTTCTCAGAGAACCTCCGAATGGGCTTGCTTTATAAAACCAAAGCAAAACTCATCAATGTGTAAGAAGGTTTTCCTTAAAGAAGAGATTTTGTAGAGTAACTGGGGGCTGTACCTGCTGAGTGCAAGTTACTTGCTTGTTACAGAAAAAGTATTTGTGCCAGTTAACCTGAACTCTCCTTATTTCAGTGCTTGAAGAGACATGCACTAACGAGCAGGTGGGAACAGGGTGTCCCACTTCTCCCCTTCTCTTGGGAATGCTGCATTTCCTCGTCATCTCACCAGAGATGAAGTGCACATAAATAAAAGTATTTGCTTAATAGATGGATTTGAAGCCAACTGTTTCTAAATCCAAATTATTTAAAAACAAATCACCTGACTGGTGCAAGGATGCTCTCTTATCTCATGGACATTTTTAAATCTGATTAGTTGAAGCTATGGTAAATGAGCACACGTCCTCAGAAATCAGACTCCTTCTGTCCTATAACCCTGCAGAAGTCCATATAATTATGGCAATCTACAGCAGGTGAGGCCAATCCATACATCCAGAAGGACTTCCACGTATGTGGCAAAAAGCTTATCTTCATTTGCCCTTTTCCATGATTTCTTATGGCAGGATCATTCGCACAAAACTGGGAAGTTTCCTTTCAGAGTTCTCCCTTCCCCGTTGCTATTTGCACTTCAAGTTTTAATCCCTTATCTGTGAGATCATAATCATGCCTGTATCAACTGGAGGATGACAACTTCAAGTGAAGAACAGCAATAGGAACAGACAAACCGAAGAACAACCACCCCAAGGCTGATCCCTGGTGTTTCTGCTGACTAAGTCAACACAGAAGCTGTGCGGAGCTGAAGCAACGCAGGGGAACCCAGGACCCCGTGAAGCATCTGAGAACCCAGCACACAATCTGGTATTTGCCATGAGCTCAACACTTTGGGTCAGACATATCTGTTTGTCTGTTGCTCAGTTCTCACTCAAAGAGAAGTTAATTTACATGGAAAACCCCATATTAGCAGGTCTGCATTAACACATTTCTTCTGAGGATGCAATCTGCATGAGGCACGAGTACACCCTGTCAGCGTGAAGGATCCCCCACACAAATCTCTTGCAGATGAGCATGTCATAGATTTTCTGCCAGCAACCATCTGCTGGCCACCCTGTCCCCTCCCTTGGCCACCGATCAGCACTACAGCGTGCTCTGGACCAAAGGGTTCTCAGTGCGGACACGTCTCCTGTGTTCCCCCCCAACCTTTGCATTAAACTCATCCTGTTCCTCAGCCCTCTCAGCGTATTCCTCCTGAGACATCCTCCGTGCCCTCGCGTTTTGTCCTCGCGCTCTCAGCCCCCCTCTTCTACCACCACCACCTCAAAAGTGCTCAGACCCACAGCTCTGCTTCAGCCCCACTTCTGCGCCTTGGGGAGGACAGCCCCCAAGCACTGCTCCTCCGTGGAGGACACCAGCGATGCTCCCGGCCTTCCTCCTTCCTCCGAGTGCAAACAAAACACCTTCTCCCCAATTCCACGTCCTACCACGGAGTGTTCTTCAGCCTTCCCACACCACTCCATGCTGCCCTATGTCCGCAATCCCACCTTCCCCCTGTGCTGGGTACGTGCACTTGTGGTGGCACCTCTGGGTTTTTTGGCTCCCCAAAGCCCTGATCCAACGAGACACTGAGGGAACAGGAGCAGGGCTGGAGTTCTGCAGGGACACCCGGGGCAGGCGGCGATGCACCAGTGGCGCGGGACGGGGCGGCAGCGCCGCAGAGGAAAAAGCTGTCCCTGTGCGCTGCTGTGTGGTGTTTCTGACGTCTGGGGAAGAGCACACACCAGTCAGTCCCTGGGTCAGGACGCTGCACTTTGCCCCTGCTGCTCTAAGAAAGCCGTAACCGCACCACATCCAGACTAGGAGACCTCTCTGTATCTTCCTGCAGCACACCAACTCTCCGCTCCCCGGGGGCAGGGGGTGAGCGTGGCCACCAGCGCAGGCAGGGCGAGCAGCCGGCTGTGCTACGGGCTGGGTGACACGCGGGGATGGGGCCGGGGGTGGCACGGCCAAACCCCACAGACAAAAGCGGCTTTTGGGGCTGCCAGTCCTCACACAAACCCAAGCGGGACCGCTCCGGGCCCCTGCCGCCTGCAAACCCCC